TCCGCGCACCCCCCCCCCCCCCCCCCCCCCCATGGTAATCCCCCTCCCCCCCCCTGTGGTTCCTGTGGTTCCCCCCCCCCCCTGTGGTTCCTCTTGGTTTTCCCCCTCCCTTTTGTGGTTCTTCTGGTTCCTGTCTCCCCCCTCCCCCCCTGTGGTTCCTGTGGTTCCTCCGCGTGGTTGCTGCTGCTTTGTTGTTGCTGCTGTTCTTCTTCTTGTTCTTGTTCTTGTTCTTGTTGTGTGGTCGCCCGGGTCGGGGGGGGGGGTGACCATTGGGGGGGGGGGGGGGGGGGGGGGGGGGGGGGGGGGGGGGGGGGGGGGGGGGGTCGAGAACGCGGAGCGCGGGCACATATAGGGGTTTAGGGGTTTAAGGGTTTGGGGTTTAGGGGTTTAGGGTTTATAGGGATTTATAGGGGTTTAGGGGTTTAAGGGTTTGGGGTTTAGGGGCTTAGGGTTTATAGGGGTTTGGGGTTTAGGGGTTTAGGGTTTATAGGGGTTTATAGGGGTTTAGGGGTTTAAGGGTTTGGGGTTTAGGGGTTTAGGGTTTATAGGGGTTTATAGGGGTTTAGGGGTTTAAGGGTTTGGGGTTTAGGGGCTTAGGGTTTATAGGGGTTTGGGGTTTAGGGGTTTAGGGTTTAAGGGTTTAAGGGTTTAAGGGTTTAAGGGTTTAAGGGTTTAGGGTTTAGAGTTTAGGGTCCTTACTTACTGGACTCGCTACCAGCCAGCTCCAGGTTGTTGTTTCGCAGGGGAGTTGGGGTTTCAGGGCTGTCAAGAGACCTCAAATACTGTCAGGGACCCCTAAACCCTAAACCCCAAACCCTAAACCCTATACCCTAAACCCTGAACCCTCTTTCAATGACCTGGGAGCTGTAAACCCGAAATCCAGAAATCCCAAATCCAAGGCGGTGAAACCGCGACCCTGAATCCAACAAGCAGCGCGATCACCCGCGTCGCGCATCGGGTCCGACCGGTCGAGGGTGCTGTGGACTCGCTCCCTGCACTGCAGGGACTTTCCAGACCCCATCCACACTGCTTTACCTAGAGCATACAGTAGAAGCCAGAAAGTTGGAACATGGCTTTAGGAGGATTAGTGCTTGGATCCCTTATACTTTACCTTAAGGGCATGAGGACAATGATGTTCCAACTTTCTGGCTTCTACTGTAGTAGTTCCTTGTTGGGAATACCTTAATTATAGGATTCTAAATACCAACCACAAAAAGGAACTACTATGGAGCCTCTAGGCGAAGCATGGCAAACAAAGAAACCAAAATTATATGGACTACGCGTACATCAAGAGACAATGGTGAACCCCTTCGGCGCTAATTCCCTCTTAGCTGGGCGCAAAGCTTTTGGGGCTGGTTTGCGACTCGCATGTACTTTGAAGGTTTAGGAGGTTGGGCAAACTAGTTGTCCGAATGATGCTTCGTACATCGTCAGGCCTTTTCGTACTTGAACAGTAAGTTACTAACTTTAAGATGTAACCCAGCAAGTAACTCAGGAGCCTTAGCGTACTGCATGCACCAAAACCACAAAACCCGAAACTCCAAATCAAGCTGCCCTAAAGTCCCTGAGACTTAACTCACAACCCTACTGCTGTAGAGCCTTAACCGTTTAAATAGGCTTTTGAGGTATCGTAGACTATAACTATAACAAGGAACCATCTGCATTTTGTTGGTAACTATCTAGGCCCCTATATTGAACACCCAGACCCCTAAACCCTGAAACACTAAGCCCTAACATCGCATTTTGCTGGCTCTCTTCCATGACTAATGCATATTCCTTGGGTACGGTCCCCATACAGTAACAGTCTACAATAGGACTACTATTCAGGTCCTTATATCTCTGTATGATGAATATTATCCAACTGTTACTGAGTGGGGGCCGTACCCAACCTTTTCCTGTGAAGACGACGTTTGAGGGCTTAGGGTTTAGTTTGGGCCGTTTAGGGCAAATACTACAATCTAGAACTCCTTTGGGCGCCTCGGCGTTACGGGAAAGATACGATGTTGCTCAAACTTACGATCACTAAAAGGAAATGTTGAGTTTTAGGATCACTAAATAAACCTGATTATTGATTGCTCGGGTGAAACATATTACTGGGCTTGGAGGCCATTGAATTTGCTGAACCCTAGACCCACACCAGTTGCCAAGCCTCTATTCTGCAAAGACCTTCAACCATAAACTTGAAACAACCCAAAACCTGGGTTCTTGTTCAGGAGTATAAGTTAAATTACCATAATAGGGTTGTATAGTAAAAAAGTAGGGTTTGATTATTGTGGTAACTTACATTAAATCTTTACCAAGTACCCAGAAACGAAAAGCAACAAGCCTCAAACCCCGGACCGCCAACACCAAAACAGCCCAACTAATCAACCCTCAAGCTCTGAACCTAAAATCCCAAACCCAGAACCCCTCTTTCTGGAATGCTCTTGCAGACCCTATGCTTTCCTTACTCCTTCTTCGGGAGATACTCTAGGAAAACTTCGACATAGACATTGTTCGGTGGAGGCCGAGACCTAAACCCTACCTTTACTCCACAAGACTTACAGTTTTAAAAAATTTGTATATAAAAAAAACATAACGAGGATCCCAAAAAAGGGTGCATTCTTCAGGGTTACGGTAAGCCCTAAACCCCTAAACTCATAAATGCTGGTGCCTTGCCTTCCGGTTGCAGTTGCAAGTAGCCGTGAGAATCCGGAGTCGGAATTCCATCCTTGTGTTCGTTTTGTTATGAGGATTTGGGGGCTTTCCATGACCCTCCAAGTGCCCTTTAAAGGGCCCTGACATTTCCTATTTCTCATTATGTAACAGGTAATTAGGGATAAAGGGTCGTTGGGTCTAGATTTGGTTTGGAGTTTAGGGTTTCGCGTGACGCAGTTGTAGCAGCTTTGCTAAGGCTGCCTTTGTTGTTTTGGTTATAGGACACGGGGCTGCCTGTACCAGGGAGGGGAAACAACTACTGGCGCTTGCCCATGTTATCTACGAGTTTCTTGCAGCTTCAACTCCTAGTTCCGGAAAGTGCGAGGCTTGTATGGATTCGGAGGTTGTATAAGCTTGGGCAGAGATCTTCTAATCAACTTGAGCTCCCAGTGGATTCTAAGCTTCGCTGGTATCAGCTTCGGGGTTAGTTAGGCCTACTATAAAGCCTGCTCAAAGAGAGTTGGGCTTTGGGGTGGATTGTGGTATAATTATAGAAAGAAACACTAAGGAATGTTATTGGCACTTATTCGGGCTCCTACATTATAGTAGAAGCCAGAAAGTTGGAATATGATTATCCTAACCCTTCTATGGTAAATTACAGGGTATCCTACCATGAAACCATATTCCAACTTTCTGGAGTTCCCTGTAAGCGTGCTTGCATGATTCAAGCTCCCTGGCGACTGAATGCCCCTTCTGAGTAGGAGGCCTCGACCCGTTTATACTGGAGTTCCTAGACGGTATATGAACCTGAAGCCCTAAACCCTAAACCCCCCAAGAAAACAAATCTTAAACCCTAAACCCTATACCCTAAACCCTATACCCTATACCCTACACCCTAAACCTGAAACCCGTCGGGGCTCATTTCGTCCTTAAGGGCTTTGGGTGTGAAGACCAGGAACCTACGGAGTGATAGTTCAGGGTTTACTTGGGGATGTCAACACCCATTTTTGTGAAGGTTTAGGGTTTAGGGTTTAGGGTTTAGGGTGACCCAAGAGTAACCTAGGAATAAAAAGGGTGCCCTTTTTGGTTGAAAGGGGCTTATAAGGGAACCTGAGCCCTACAAAAAGGGAATAAGGGCCTACTCCAGGTCCTAGGTTATAAAATCCTAGAGGCTCCAGCAGGACAAAATCCAGGTCCCAAACTCCCCCACTCAAAATACCGGAACACCTGAACGCTGAAGCCCAAACTGAGCTGGAACTCTCGAACAAGTTCTTTGAAGTTTCCTGACGAGTTTCCGGGCTTTGGGTGAAAGGGGCACCAATATCGGAGGGATACAGGCACAAACCATCCAGCTGTAGCTCGTATGGAAACCCTACGTGCTAAGATGTATCTATTTCAAGCCCTAGCCCCCCTAAACCCGAAACCCTAAACCATAGCTTGGGTCTGTAAATAATGAGCCAAAATTCGATTTTCACAAGCGTCAAGTCCAACCGACCATTCTGCGACAGCGACGAGACGAAACCACCTCAGAAAGTGCTCGATTTAGGGGCTTAGGCTTTAGGGGCTTAGGGGTTTAGGGTCTAGGAGTGTGGGGGGAGTTTGGTGTTTTTTTCCAAGGCCTGCACATCGACAACAAGAACGAAGAAAGCAACCTGAGCCAGACTTGCGGTCCAGCCTCGCTGAAATGGGATGCCTCGACCCTACTTAATTTGCCAGGGGACTTGGAAAGAAGGGTTTAGGGTTCAGGGTTTGGGGTTTAGGGTTTAGGCGAAGGGTGAAAATTTGGGTTATGAGTCCTCTACGTGGGGTTATCTAATTTAAGACCTCACTCACAACCTTTCTTACCAAATCCCCTGAGGCCTCGAGAAAAAAGACCCTGAACCTGAAACCCCCTCGCCCCGGTGGGATTGAGTCTAGTGGATGGTGTTGGGGATTGTTTGAAGGATCGCGGGAGTTAGCAAGGGATGTTGCCGGCCTGTACCTATATACTTTTGACCCTACTTAGTAAATCCCAGAGGATTTCTGGGTTCCTCAGTAACCTCTTAATAGTAGGGGTACCCTTTTTCGTAGCATTCAGTTCTGAATCAGCAGACCCCCAAACTGAAAAGGTTGGGTCATAGGGTGGTGGCAAGGTAAGCTCTAGCTACATTTCCTGGAAGTCGTGTAGAGGCCCCCATCGCTAGTGCTGAAGCCTAGCCAAACTGATAAGACTTGACGGTCAAAAGTCCTATACGGAAGTATCTTGGTGGTCCTTATAATGAGGATCCAACTATTTAGGGTGCTATATTAGGGTCCCCTATTTTATCACGGCGTCGTCGGAGCATTTCGACCCTGAAAACCTAAGCCCTTGCGCCCCGCCGACCTCCTTCCACAGTGGCCCCAGATACCAACGTGATCCTTGCAGGTAGGGTTTCTCTTGATGATATAAATCATTACCTTAAGGACCCTAAGCTACGGGAGTTATGGTATATTCCTTATTCTGGGTAATGCAGGATTTACATTATCAACCGTAGGAAAAGGGGTATCCTTGGGGATATAGACCCTCTCAATAAGGTCCCCCTTACGAGGGCCACAATTAGGGTTAAGAAGGGTCCCGTTGCAGGGGTCTCCCCAATACTACCCATATAGGAGCAGAAGCAAAGGCTTGGAACAAGGATTCATGTTTAATGGCCATAATTTGATCCTCGCTTCTTCTGGGGGTCCCGAAAAAGCTTCTAGAAGGGCTCTACAAAGGTCCTAGGACGGGAGTTGTTGAGGACTGTTTTGGTTTAGTATGTCAGCCATATAGTAATGGGATGGAGTTTGCGGCGGGGGAGGGGAAGACAGTAGGATGTCGCATTGCAAGAGCCCTGTAGTTTAAGCAATTTCCACAACATGGAACTGACAACGCCAGTGCCCGGCCTAAACCATGCTAGTGGGTGAACTACACCTTAGAAGGGGCCCCCCACCCTGTAATAGTGGTATAATAGGAATATAATAGGGCCCTACCATAATCCTTACAGCCACTATTACAGGGTGGGGGCAGCTTCTAAAGTAGACCTTTTTCTGGTTTAGGCCGGAGGGGTTAAGTAAATCCACCACGCTCGGACCGGCCCTGAGAAAAAATCAGGAAGTTCGGTCGCTGTCTGGGAAAATATGTACGTTTTTGCTTACTTCATGATATTTCTATTCGAGTAGGAACCCACAAACCAAAACAGTAATAATGTACACATGTATGATACCACTGAACAGGATTGGAATGCAAGCCGGAACCTTATCATGGTTTCGGACCTCTGGTTCACCCATGTGCCTTGCAGTCCTTGGGGTGTGTTCTGTCCGAGCCCACCACAGACCAACGCACCGCGTCTTTGGCTAGCGGCCCACGCTAAAAGCCTTAAGCCCCAAACCCTGAAACCCACAACCAGACACTTCCTCAGCCCCAAAACCTTAAAGCCTGCACTCCAGTCTACTTGAAGCCCGTACCAGAGTTGTTGAAGAAATCGTCCCTTGATAGTTCCTTTGCTCCCCTTTGGGCCTTGATGCAGGCATTAGTGCAGAGGTTCAGGGTATAGAGTCTAAGGCTTTGGAGCTTTATTGCTTAGGGCTTTCGGGGTCTAAAGTCTAGAGTTTACCCATAGGCCCCAAAGTAGTTCCTTTTTGGGATTACCTTGTAGGGTTCTATATACGAACCCCAAAACGGAACTACTTTGGGGCCTTAGGGTAGGGTCATCCCCAAACCCCAAACCCTAAACCCTAAAGCCCCTTCAAGCTTAAACCCTAAAGCCCTCGACCATAAAGCACTAAACCCAAAGTCCTAAAACCTAAATACCCTAAAGTCGAAACAAACCTTTAGGACACGCAAGCAGGATAGGGATATCTCATATACAACCCCTTTTAATGAAGCTCTACAGCCTAAACTCTAACTCGAGAATTTTGGACCCTAAGCCCTAAACCCCAAAGCCCTAGACTCTAAAGCCTGAACTCTAAGCCCCTTGAAAAAGGAACCCTTGAAGGGACCCACAAGGGTTCCTTTAAACTTCCCTTTTTGGGGGCCCTTTTGGGGGCCCTCGAAGACGAGAAGCAGCTTGAAGGAGTACGGATAAAGCCCCAACTCGCGGCTGATGGTGTCCTGCGCTTCTGTAAATATGGGGCTTAGAAGGTTTATATAGGGTTTCGAGTTATAAAATAGGGTTTACATATAGGGTTTAGGATTTAGGGTTTATATAGGGTTTAAGTCTTATACAGGGTTTGTATCATAGAGTTTAGGATTCAGGGTTTATTTAGGGTTTAAGGTTTATACAGGGCTTGTATAAAGTTTACGGTTTAGGGCTTAGGGCTTCGGCCCCGCGCAGGGAAGCATTCGGCTTTGAGGTAGAGGGTTGCCTTTGCAGGCAGAGTTTGGGGGGAGGGGGGGGTGTACTACTGGGCTTTTAAGTAACCAGGGAGAAAAAAGTATAAGTCTGCATCTCGTAATGGTTCCTTGAGGAAACAAGTGTTAAAGTGTGGTACTTCAAAAACCAGATTATGGTAGAGCTATACCGAAAAACTGGGACTGCAAGGGTATGTGACATTACTCACTACTCGACCCCTTTGGTAAGCTTTCGGGTTTTAAGATGAAGGGGTTGGGGGTTCAGGGTCGAGGTAGCCCCGGTTTAGACTCTCAGTTACTTCATTTATTCAACTATTATGCTAGTACTTTCTCCACTATAAAACGTCTTTAAGATTTAAGGCCGGCGATTCTCGGAGCACGGCGTTAGTAAAACAAGGGCCTTAGTGAAAAGGACTCTTGAAGGGGCTCTTTGAATTGAAGAGCTACTACACAGGTTCCATGAAATAGGGAGCCTGAATCAACAGACGTGGGTTTGGGCGTTCTAGTATATTATGCTTATAGAGGGGCTACAGGAGGTCCTTACTATGAATGACGAAGTACTCAGGCCCCTGTAGTTTGAGGCTCAGGATTAAATTCGTTCAGCTCCCCGGTCTCTTCGTGTGTTTTGCACGTCTGAATCATAAACCCTAAAACCTAAACCTCAGGGTTTTAGGGCGCAGGGGTCCAAACCGGGAAGTGCGAAGCCCAAACCTGCGTCTCTGTGAGTAAGGGTTTGGGAACTTGGGGGGGGGGGGGGTCAGGGTTTAGGGTGTGGTGCTTGGAGCCTTGGAGCCAAGGATTAGGGACTTTTGCACAAGTTTAGGGCTCGGGGCTTTGGTGCCTAGGGTTTTGAATTTTGGGGGTTTAGCGTTTCGAAGTGTAGGACATTTCAGAAGGGAAGGGGAGTATAGGGGTTGAGGTTTCTGTAGAGGTGCAGGGTCCCGGCGTTCAGTCCTTCAGGTCACAGTTCTTGGTACCCTCCGGTACTTCCACCTGGGTTAATGTGCTGCAGCACCACAGCAAACAAAGGCTAAAATATACAGATGTCGGTTTGAGCGTTTTTCCGTTGAGATTGTAATTATTTTGGTTCAGGTTCCGGGGTTTTTGGTTCTGCTAGGGCCTAAACCCTGAACCCTAAACCCTCAATCCTAAACCCTGAACCCTAAACCCTGCACCCTAAACCCTGCACCCTAAACCCTGAACCCTAAACCCTGCACCCTAAACCCTGCACCCTAAACCCTGAACCCCTAAACCCTGCACCCTAAACCCTGCACCCTGAACCCTAAACCCCTAAACCCTGCACCCTAAACCCTGCACCCTGAACCCTAAACCCTGAACCCTAAATCCTAAACCCTAAATCCTAAACCCTGAACCCCGAAACCCTAAATCCTAAACCCTGAACCCCGAAACCCTGAGGGTTTAGGCGTCGGGTTTCGGGCTCCGGGTTTCGAGCTCCGATCCTCCAGAGCGAAGCAGTGTCTGTCGGGTCCAAGAATCCGGGCTTGGGGGGATCAGGGTGGGCTTAGGGTTTCGAAGAGACAGCATTGGGGTTCCTTTAAGGGTCCCTTTAACGGGATCTATAGGGGTTCTATAAGGGTATAGGGTTGCTTACTTGGAGGTTCATGGGTAGTTATCTGGGGTTATAAGTAAGGTAGCTATACTTATAACCCCTATTTGCGGACTTATAACCCCGCTTCTAACTACCCATGAAACTCCAAGTGGGGACATAGTGCGGGGGCCATTGTAATTAGACTAGCGTTCGTTTAAAGGGGTCTAGAAGGGTTCTGTAATGGAGTTATAGGGGTACTATACATAGGTGCCTTATCAATTAAATAGGGTTTTGAGGCCCTTTTTCTCAAACTAGAATAAGGACCCCCCCCCCCCACAATAGTATATATATATATATATATATATTTATTGATAACTATTTCAGCACCTATATTAGGCCTATGCGGCTAAATGCCATACTTTATGTCATAGGATTGAAGCCGCAAGCTAACTTATGCAAAACAGGGCTACAATCCGAAGTCTGGGTGGTGTTCGGACTCGGGTTTTTAGCACCACAAAATTCGGCCGTCTTCAAAAAGTCGTAAGTTCTGACAAAGCGATTCCGACGACATCGCATTTCCGGCTGCCCTCCTCCTCAAGCTTGCCCACCTTCTTCTCAAGCAGATCCTCCCGGTGCCGACTGTCGATGGTATGCTTGATGTACTCGGCGAGCTTTGCCTTGTCCTCGTCGGCCACAACCTTCATATTCGCAAGCCTCGCACGCATCGCACTCGCCGGTGGTTTGCGCGGGCCCATGGTCTTCGGCTGCGGCTTCAACTCCGACCGAAACAAAACCTGAAAGGTTTGGGGCGCCAGTAGGTCTATCCTCAACTCTGAAGCCTATCCGACCTATCGAAGCGGAGATGAAGCTCCGAAACGCTTCTAAAGGCATGAAGCTTTGCAAGCAGGCCTATGATTCAGGTCGTCTGAAATTTTGAGCATACTGGCGTAGGTCTGGAAGTGTTGTGGTTGGACCACTACGGTTCAAGTTCCAACTATGGAACTTCAGCTACAAGTCTTAGAGGTGTTACAAGGTCGAAACACGGTTCAGGATAGACTCAAACTTGCTCCAGGTTTGCAGATTAAGCTTCTCTGTGCGCTCTCGCCTAAAACCCAAACAAAACTACAAAAAACTAAATCCCAAACAGGCCATCATGAACCCCAAAACCCTTATCTCTAAACCCTAAAGCCTTTTCCCGAAAGCTGCAAACCCTCACCCCTCCCCAAAAGATGAAGCACCAAAAAGCGCGAAGAATGCCCAGGAACTGAGCAGAGTTCTTCGCCAGCGAGGTTCGAAAGATGGACGAAGAGCCCTTTCCTTCCACACCAAGGAGCCCGGTTCAGGGTTCAGGGATGGTAGGTCAGTTCTGCATCAAGTTCTCGCGTCGTAAGATACAGGATTCGCTGAGCATTTCAAGGTTGTAGAACCCCTTTTCCATCATGGAATTAGGTCGTATAATACATGTGGTCTTCGGGAACCTCAAATCCCGTGAGCAGTAAACCTGTGTATTGTCGTGCTCTCGATCGTTCTGGATATACCTGTATTGCCTTGATTGCATTGCACTGTCTTGTATGGCACGATATGGTATGGTATGGTGTTGGCCTGTCTGTACGGCACTGTATAGTATTCTGTGCAAACGTAGTGTAATCAGAACCCTTGTATTGTCTTGTCATTGCATAGGTCTGTATGCATGTCACTATGTATATATGTATGTATGCATGTAGGTCTTTACACGTGTATAGCATATGCCATATATATATATATATATATATGATTAGTTGTTATATGGTTAGTTGTTTGTGCATCTGCCGGTCTACATATTTATGGAGCTGGTATGAACAGTGACCGCATGCGTACATTTGGAGTGTCTGTCTTGTGATGCAGATTGGCGGGGACTGTGGGACCTCTGGCATGCGGCAGTTGAGAGGTTTCCTGTGTTTCGGTCGTCTCCCAACCTTGGAAGCGATTTCGGGGAACCGGGTTGTTACTAGCTCTCCAGACCTCCCTATTGCATCGGAATCCTCGCGCTGCTGCTTTATCTTTCCTGTGCTTGGTTACGAAGATACTATACCAACATCATGAACGCCTGCAGGAAGCTAAACCTTGGAAAACTACACAGTAACGGCCTTCCAAAAAATGATATACAATAAACCCTATGACAACCGAAGCTGCTCGCCTCCGTGTCGCCATTGACATCCGCTAAAAGCGTCTACCGACGATCCTAACACTACGCAGAAGATGCGAAAGATCCTCGTTGCAAGGGCCTGCCCTGGGTTTAAGGGACTTTAAAATCTTGCTTCATTCAAGCCTCAGGGACTAGAGTTTCAGGGTTGCGAGTTTGCTTCCCGCGTTGGGGTCCAAGGGTGGATGAGCACTGTACCCAAAGGCCCCAAAGTAGTTCCTTTTTGGGGTTCGTATATAGAATCTTATTAGGTAATCCCAAAAAGGAACTGCTTTGGGGCCTCTGGGTAGAGGGAAGCTGGGACCTCGGGGGCAGTCAACGATGTCGGGGATGCGGATGCACTGCTTTCACGTGACCTTTACAGAACTTTAGGAGTTCCTGGATGCGCTAAACACGCAGATGCAGTGGGATTTCTGCAGAAAGGCAACTTCAATTAGATCAGCAGGGATGATGCTAATCTCCGAAACCGATCTAGGCATCTTTGGATGCCCATTTGAAAACAGGTCTACCGAAAGCGAAGCAAGAGAGCTAGAGTTAAAATTTCCCCCAAACTATATTGAAAAGTTGCGACCCTCGAGTGGAACATGTGCACGGCTTCGTTATTTGAGCCAGAAGTCATACCAGACGATGGCTCGAGCGTCCAGAGTATCGGGGTGCAGGGATTCATAGCTTATGAGTTCGTCGATATGAACTACAAGGGGGTACTAGTAGCATTTCCACCGACCCCTAGGACTCGCGTAAGCCCTACGCGCAAAGCCTCTTGAGCGGACTAGGGTTCAGCGTTTAGGACTATCCTCAATTCCGGTCTGAGGATTACCGCCGCAATGGAGGCAGAGGTGGAGGTATCCTAAACTCTATTTCGGGACTGCCATGAAAAGGGAGCCGCATGGATAAAATTCCAATCACTCTAAACCCGAGACCCAGGACCTCGAAACTTTAAAACTCATATCCTACGCCCCTATGTAATCCTGAATGCCAAGAAATGTTCAGCCCCTGGCTACATAGAAGAAGGGTTCAGGATCTCTCGACAGGCGTGGGTTCAGGTTTCCGCCTCCTTGCTGGGGTGCCAGGATCTACGGTTTCGCGTGAAAGGGTTTCGCCGGCTAGTGTTTAAGTTGATGAGTACTAGGCACACCTAAACCCTAAACCCTAAAACCCAAACCGTAAATCCTATACACCCTCAACCCTAAACCCAAAACCCTGAACCCTTTGCGATCGGCGTATGGACTGAAAGCCTCGGGTATCCAGCTATGAATGCCATGCGCAAGTACGGGAAGTCACAACCCTCAACTCTAAACCCTCAACCCTCAACCAAAAAGGGGGGTAGGGTATGAAGCTTCCAGGGGAGCGAAATTCCGAAATACATGGCACGATAGCGATCTCCAGGGGAGCGAAATTCCGAAATACATGGCACGATAGCGATCTGAGCCCCTCACTTGCTTTCGAATCCGCTCTGGATCGTCTTTGATCTTGTTATGCTCTGACTCGTAGACCTGGAGTTGCCAATGTCGCCGCAGTGTCATCATGTTGATGGAGCCAAACCCTACAGAAAGCCTACGAATTGGAGCCCCCCCAACCAACAAACCTGAACACCAAGGCGGTATAAATCCTGTCAGCCCTAAGGTGATCCTGGAAGCTCTATGATACCACCATACCGAAATCCAGTATTCTACTACAACGTGGTCTAAAGTCAGTTCTCGAGCACTGTAGTAGTCATGACGAGCAGCAGGAGCAGGAAACTGTACCGCAGGCACTAGAACAATACTATGGGGGCCTTAAAAATTACCTATACTCTTTTGCGGGTTCCTTATTATGATGATTGTATAATGGGCCGCAAAACCCTATTCTAATTAGTGAGACGCCTATATTAACAGCCTTCACAAAGACGAAGCCGGAGGATGGTAATGCATGAAGCCTGCGGATAAAGTGCCTGAAGCTGGAATCTGCTCCCTAAGCCCTATCTCAACCCTGAATAACCTACCTTCTTAGGGTTCCTTATTATGATTTCTTTATGTAAGTCCTTAAACGTGTAGGTTCTTCGGGGTTAAGATAAGCCCTAAGCCACAAACAGAATCCATCTGGGGAGGAGGCTTTGTAGATGTCACGGTTGTTCTCTGCCTCCGTCTCCACCTGCTGATTGGGGTTTGGGGCTTGGTGCTTTAAGGATGGACTCCTTATCCCAGAACCCTAAAGGTCCATGTACCTTAAAATAATCCATGTTTAAATGCAGTGCGGCCAAAGTATATACTATTTGGGTACATG